ATTTATTATAGGCAAAGAAGATTTTGTACGGTGTTTGGCAGCAACGTGTTCAGTTTTGAATAAATCGTTGCATACAATTTTTTTCTTATTCACCTCCATCAACCATTCCAACTTCATTGAACATGTACTCTTTCTGGTGCTCAATCAAACACCGTGTTGATCTCCTAACATCCTTGAAAAGATTGTAAACACGAGTGATATCCTGCACATCCACAATCTTTCCCTTCCACTTCTGGCAGTTCAATGCAGAAGCTATGATAAAATTGATGGCATATCTCTAGGATGTCTCGCGTCCAATTTTTGTCCACAGCTGTTTTGCATCCTCAGACATCTCAACATCTTCTTCCTCTTAGCATCTAATATCTATGATCTTGCGAATTTCATAATTATGAGCAGGCGTTCAAGAAGATCGATTGGAATCCTATGTGGGGATTTGGAGTTTATGCCTTGGATCGCAGTGATTCAATCCCAAAGCCTCCCTCCCTCCCTCCTACCAGTTAACACAGCCCAAAACAACAACGAATGAAAATGGAAAACCAACCCACAGGGCCACACAAACTGCATAATAACACAGCCCAAACACGACCAAGAAAGCGTACCAAAAAAGTATTGAAATGTTCTTGCTTATATTACAAGTATTAATTTTGTTTACACAAATAAACATTATAAAACAATATCTAATTAACAAATTTAAGAATTTATTTACTAATTTAGACACCTTTAGGAGGTGAAAGGTTTTGCTCACTGAAATTGCACAAAGTATGGATGAACAGTAATGTTGGGCCTTTTTTAAATCACGTGAAAAAGACACAAAAACCCAATGAAAGAGGATGCCGTGTAGGGGCAAATTCGGCCATTGATTGAACTGGCCTTACTTTTGGTTCATTGATGATTTTCGGCCCGCCCGTTTAAGACCCAACCCGTTCCATCTTTAAAACCCTGGCGAGGGTTTATCTCAGCATCTGTTTAAAACATCGCAAGAACACCAATCGGAACGGGTTTTTGCGTCACCTCCCGCCGACGACTCCAAAACACTACGCCTTCTGATAATGGGGAAGCAATTCGCAACAAAACGAGGTAGACAATCCCTGAGTTATTTATGTTCTTTCGCTGGACACCATAAAGTTTCCTTACTTCAATCTTTGATTTTGGATTAGGTAGAATTTTTTTCTTTTTTTTTTACTTAGGTTTTGATAAAAGAAAATTCATTATACTTCTGGATACGTATTGAATTTCCTTGGAAGAATTTTTGTTATTGATTTTTAGTGATATATGTTCTTTGAATTAATTGCAGGATTGAAGAGGCACAAGACACCAGATAGAGTTGACAGCAGAAAACATGTAAAAAAGAGTCAACATGTCAAGGAAGATGATACTCGTGCCGACTCTCCAGGTCTCCAAAGCAGCTTCACTTTCCTGCTTCTTTCTGCATAGTTGTGTTGTTTTATGGTTCTTCAACTTTGTGTGTGTGCGTGTGAAAAGAATATATATATATGAATTGGATTATTAGTAGGATTTATAGAGATTGGATATTCTTGCCATTTAAATTTTTGTGTTCAGAATTGAAAGTTTAATATTTTGTTAAATTGTTCATTACAGGAGAATCATACAGGGAAGAATCTAATGATGATGAAGCTTCAGAAGAAGTAATCTATAAAGAGCCAACTGTTTATGATAAATTATTGATGAAACTTGGGTCGCACAATAGATCTGTTGCTGATGCATATAACAAGAGGTAATTTCTTTTTTTGAAAGCCTTTAGTTAGAGAGGCAGGGATCTCTGTTGATTGTGGAGTATGAATTAACTGCTGCATACATTCCTCAAGCTTCATATTTTGTAACAGACTTCAATTATTTTATGGGCATTAGTAACGTGATGCATTTTTGTATGTTTTGTTTCTTGGCTTTTGGGTAGAATATTTTTCTTTCTTGATATAAGTGGATTTGTTCAAAAATGACTATTCACTTGTTAGTTATTGATGATTTAATATTCTTTTTAAAACTTGTAAACTCAAAGCTAAGTCATTTTAGGAATTGAAAACTAGCAATTTATTGTGTGATTCTGTCACAGACAAAGACAAGAAGAAGGAAATAGTGACACAGAAGAAGATGAAACTGAGGGCTCTGAATCTCTTAGTGTGTCAAATGAGGAAGATGGTGAAGAAGGTAGTTTGAAAATCATTTTTCTTTTATCTCTTTCTTTACATGTATTTTTATGACTAGTAGAGATTTTATTTTCTCTTTGTTTGTGTTTTGCTTCTACTAGTTAATTTTATTTTTGTGACTTGCATTTTTTTTCTTTTGTTGGGAGAAAAAAGTGGATTATATTCTTTCTTTATCAGTGTGGTTTTTCTCCTGAAGTTTGTTTTATCCTTGTTTGTTTATAGAAACTGATAATGAATCTCCCGGACTTCAAGAGCCTATCACTTTCGAAGATGCTGAAACTGACAGTGATGTTGAGGCCTTTGACACTGATCAGGACGATGACATTAGTGTTAATGGCCTATCTACTACTGATGACTCTGCAGGCACCAGGTTTACTTGCCTTGTACACCATTATGGATTTTTTTTTTTTAGAAAAAAAAAATTTCCTTCATTATGTGGTTGACTGTTTCAGTTAGGGTTGAAAACTTGGGCATCTCAATAATTGGAAGGAAAATTTGGTTGTAGGCTTGTAGCTTGATCTTGATGATTTCTGTGCTATGACTGAGTGATTTTTCTATAGAACTATGTTTTTAACAACTTGTGAGCAATTCAGTTTTAAAATAGATTACTTCAGTTGGTAGAATTACTGTGAGAAGTTACCTTAATATGCTTAACAACACTGTTGAAGTATTGTATTCTTCATTTCAGCTACCACAAAACTTCAAATGTCAAATATATCTAATTCTCTCTCTCTGTGGACCTGCATGTGTATATGTGTGAGGGAGAGGTTTTCTTACTTCCCCTCTTTCATTGCTAGTGGGAATGTTTTGAGATGTAAATGTATTGCATAAGGATCTGCTTTTTATTTTTCCAGTGAAAAGCTTAGACAATTTTCCATGCTATATTAATCCCTTTTGCACATGCAGCTCTTTTAGCAAGCATGTTGGGTACGTGTTGTCAAAAGGAGAGGCTGAAGAATTGTCAAACAAGAAATGGAAGTATACGTGGGAAGTGCCTGCCTTCGACAGATCAAATGGCAAGTGGATGGGAACAGGAGAGTGTTTTCTGAAGGCATGTCTTTTTATTTTTCATATATTGATTCACATACTGTTTGTAAATTTATATTAATGTTATTAAGTCAAATCAACTGTTAGAGAGGTATCTTCACGTACTGCCTTGTTTGGTTGGGTATTTTCTACTGGTTCTTGTGTAATTTTAATTTACCTAGGTTACCATCTATTACTCAGCTTATTTTGAGAATCAGCTCTTGTCCAATGGGGCTGCAAGCTAATCATGGTTTCCTTAATTCAAAAAAGAAAAAAAGGGAAAAAGTAATATCATCCATCTTCACCTAACAGAGTTATGTGATAATTCTTCTATTTGAATCACTGTATTTAATTTTTTTAAGTGTCAGGAGTGTTTTCGTCTGGGTTGAATCTTTTCTCAGATAGAATCCTCATAGTTTTTAAAATTTCTTCTAAGATCACATTTAGAATATTGACATGTATGTCATTTATTTTAATGACAGGATGCTGACATGATCCCTAATTATGGTCTCAAGCAAAAGTTGTATAAGCACTGGTTGGATGTCTACAGGACATGTGGGGGCAATGACTTCAATTCATCTAGGCAGAGATGGTTTTTTTCACTTTGTAAGTCTGCTTCATTTTCTCATCAGACGCTAAATTGATTTTTAGCCTTGCACATTTGTAGAACTTCTTTTGATATTACTGTTTGGATCTTGCAATTGATTTCTTGGTAACATTCTTCATGATTCTAGGGGCAATTATACCTTCCAATTGACAGCAATATTATATTACTACCTAAAGTATTTCCATTTTTGGGCTCTTAATTGATTTGATTTTCAATGTCCTTTTGTACTGCTCACTGATAGTAAACTTGTACAATATTTTGCTTGGACATGTTTCATTGTTATGGTTATGTGTGTAATTTGGACCTGTTTTCCCTAGGTAACAGCTATCGGGACATTCTGCATGGTAACAAGAAGCCCTTCTATCACAAAGGCCTGGAAGAAGACTCACAGATCATGGATGCATATCTCATGCATTCTGTGTGTGCATGCCCCTTCTCTTTCATGCTTAGTGATTTCATTTGTCCTTGTACAATTTTGAGTTTTTAATTTTATTATAATGATTAAATGGTAAATTATGCAGCTCAATCACATATTCAGAACTAGAGATCTTGTGACAAAGAATGATTCAAAAATAAGCAAGTATCAAGAGAGTGCAAAGGAAGAAATCCCTCCTGGTGATGGTTTCCTTGATCAAGGGTTTACTCGTCCTAAGGTACTTTTAACTCTTTGTTTTCAGTGTCATATTCTTTTCCTTCTAATTGCTCTATAACATCACATGAGACTAGCAGGGCACTAGATATAAGTGTCTAAGTGATGGATCTAAACATGAAAAACTGGGTTTGATTTATGTTTTCCTTTGAACTTTCTACCTGCAATGAAGCTAATGTCAGTTGGTAACCATAGTGTGTGGACTGGTTATGAATTTGTATGATTCATTAATTAGGATTATTTATGACTTTTTTACTGACTTGTACTTATGGTAAGAGAAGGGTGTGTATTTTAGTTTAACAACAGATCCAGTTGCAACTCTTTCTTGTGCTTGCCATGGTTCTTAAAAAACACAACATTTTGAATTTCTTCTTTCTCAACTTCCTATTGGCTATTTATTAGTCCACTAGTCTAGTGCCATGCCTTCTTGCTTTTATTTTCTTAAATTTCATTTAATCCTTTTTTGTGTAGGAAATGTCATATATTTGGAAACCAATGCTCTTATGAATTCAATAAACACCTGACATCAGTCCAATGTTGTAGTGCATTTTTCTAATTTGATAGCATTTCTAGTGCATTCTTAGAATACTGTAGGTATTGGGATTAACAGATGAAAGTTACTAAAATTCAATTTTTTTTGGTGAAGTCCAATCAGATAGCTTCCTTGATCTACAGTCTAGAATGGGTTAGACCCATAGCCTATACTGTATCAACATTCATCTTAAACCTTAGGGACTTGTAATTTGTAACATTGAGACAGGGACCCCTGTAAAGTAAATTACTCCATATGTGCAAAAGACCTTGGTTCTGATCTTTGCATCTAAGAAAAAAATTTTATTTTTTGTCAACAGCCAATTTGTATATATCTTATTCTCCATCAAATTTTGATTCTGCTGCACCATCTATGTTGTAATGTTACTGCATGTTTTGAACTATTATATGCAAACAAGTGCAGCTGCTGCATCATAAGAAAGCATGCAACTTTTTCAGTCATTAAGATTTGTTGTTATTATGATTTCAGGTTTTAATCTTATTGCCACTCAGAAGCATTGCTCTCCGTGTTATTAAGAGGTTAATACAGCTAATTCCTGAAACTTCCAAGGTACTTCTAGTTTGGTTTATTAGCTCTTCACAAATCATTCTTTGAACACAAGTTAGACATCTGCCAAAATGAATGTGGCATGAACTGGTAGCAAACGCTGGAGAACACTTGACTATTTGAATGGTTTATATTGGTTTGGATGATGCATCTCTTGTGATAAATTTAAGGGACATAAATGATGTGTGATTGTAATGGTATGTATTCTCTAGCTAAGATATCTGTATTAAATGTGCTACTGATTTGATCACCTTTAAATTTTAGACCTTTGATTTTATAACCTTCTCTAAAATACTGGATGGCCCCCCTTGCTTCCTTACTTAATCTCTTATATGTTGTGTAACATGTTTGGGAGTGGAAAAGATTATTCCAAAGGAGCCTCCCTCCTTGATTCTCCTCCTTTATCTTGTATCTTCTGGATGATGGAGGTTTCAAAATATTTGCCTTGTGATTTTTGAATGGTGTGTTTGGTAACATATCTAATAATTAGGTCTTTCATGGGTGTATTTCTGTATTGGATGTTTTATCAAAGTTTTTTGAATGGTTCTTTTTTCTCTATCTATACTGTTTTATTCTTTACTAGGTTTGTGTTGAGCACATTGATCGTTTCTATGAAGAGTTTGGATCTGAAGGGGTTGAAGATGATGAGAACAAGGATGAACAGCCCCAAAATATCAAATCTTGGAAGCCTTCCAAACCTTCTGATCATCAAGCACTTTTTGGGGGTAATCCAAGTGATGACTTTATGATAGGTGTTAAGTTTACTAGGTAAAGTGTGTTGTTGCAGTTACAACTGTCAGTGCATTTGAAGTTATCTTTTATATTGTTAAACGTACAATCCACAATGCTTTCTTGTTATTGGTTGCTTCTCTTTATTTTAATGTTACTAGGATCAAGAAAAAGGCTTCTCTGTATATAGAAAAAGGATCAAACATGGTTCAGTGACCATGGAAGAAAGTTTTTTCATAATCTATTCCTGTATTACTGTTGTCTATATGAAGTGCATATTGACAAATCAAGCCTTTGCATGCTGGTTATTATCCATCCTGCCTCCCTTTATATTTAATAATTTTTTTCCTTCTTGCAGGAGGAGTGTAAAATTATATGGTGATTTTTATTCCTCGGACATTATTGTTGCTTCTCCTGTTGCATTGATTACTGTAAGCATTAACCTACTTAGTTTTTAAATTTTAATTACTGCTTCTTCTTTTGTTCAATTGATCAGACTAGTGAGAAATCTAGTTTGGCTGCTTTGATTATTGTGCCAAATATATATATTTTATGTTTGTATATATATATATATATATTTTATGTTTGATATTTTGCAAAATGTATACTTACAATTGCAGATATACACTTGCATACATAAGATATACATATTCTAATTAATCATACTTGTCATTTTAACTTTCAAATGAGATTGAGAACAATTTATGTTCTGCTAGAAAATTGGGAAGACCGAGATGAACAAGGAACTAGACACTGATTATCTTTCTTCTATAGAGGTAAAATTTTCAAACTGTAACTAGATTTTTGAAGTGCATATTTCTATGTCTAAAGACTTTATCCATTGAACTTGTGCAATTTTCTCTTTATTCTCTGGTACAAACAGGTTCTTATTATCGATCATGCAGATGTAATATCAATGCAGGTATTAGTGTGATTGAATTTATTTAGTTGAGTTCATTTCTCCTTGTTTTTCTGGGCAGTCCCTTTTTTTATCTTCTTCTTTTTTTCTTTTTTTTTATTTGCTGAATTCTGGCCATTCAATTGTATGGAGTACACTGCCTTTTTTTTTTTTTCTCACTTCTGACGAATTAAATCTAGAATTGGGACTTTTTGAAATCTGTCATTGAGCAACTGAACCACATACCATCCAAGCAGCATGGAACCAACATTATGCGTATCAGACAGTGGTATGTTCCAGTTCATTTCTCATGCAGATGTTAACTTCCTAATTTTGATTTTAGCTATGGAATAAGTTGACTCTTTTTTTATATTTTTTATTTTACTTTGTAGGTATCTAGATGGGTATGCGAGATTTTACAGGCAATCGATTATTTTAGGCTATTATTTAAACCCAGGTTACAATATGTCCTTTCTGTAGAACTCCATGATTATCAATTTCTCATACGAACTCAGAGAGCAACTAAATATGTCTAATCTTTTTCTAATCTTTTTCTTACATTCTAATTCCAGATATGAACGCTCTTTTCAATCACCATTGCAGCAACTATGAAGGAAAAGTAAGTTCCAAGTTTATATTCCTTTTTTCCATTTCATGTATATATCTGGATTCTTCTAGTATTTTATTTTATTTTTTTATTAGCTCTTACTTAAGTCTATTTAAGAATCCTGCAATTCATTCCCCAAAGATATAAGAGAAAGAACCCTATAACTCTTTTTCAAAAGGAAAGAGAAAAAGAAAACACTATAGTTTGGTTTAGTTGGGATTGAAGGAGTGTTAGAAATCAGAATCCCGCTGCCAAAATTAAAAAATTCTCTCTTTTCATTTGATGATGGTTTGAAAAAGACATTTTATGTGATTGTTAGAGAATAGACTTCTATTCTGGGTTAACCAAGATTTCTACCGATCCTCCCTCTTTTTCTTTAGTTCTCTTTTAGCCCTTTGTGTTCCAATCAAACAGAGCGTGCATGCATGGATCTCATTGAGGCATGTATCACAAAACTGCATTAGGCCTAGAGACATCTTTTGTGACATCTTACACAAATGTGCATGAGGCATGTGCTTTTATGGTTTAATTATCTTATTGTAAAACTGCAAAAAGTTCAACAACTTAATAATCTTCATTACATTTATGTCTTTCAGAGTTTCAATAATAACTCTTGTTGCATTTTTTATAGGAAAATCTTTTTACCAGTTTGATATAAAATACTAGCTCTTTCATGCATCTTCCCCTTTGTTTTAATAGAAGTCAAAATACTATTGGTATTTTTTTTATTAATACTTCTATTGCTGTGCTCATCTTTAGGCGATTTCTTCATCTAATTAGTTACATCTACAGGTGAAGTTGGCATCCCAGTTTAAAGGTGTTCTTCCAAAAGTTTTGCTCCAAGTCCGGCAGGTATATCTGCTTGAACTTGCCTACACATTTTCAAAATGAATTTTTCAAAGTATCATCCACATTGAGATGTTATTAGTGTACTTCATTTGGCATGTCTTAACTGAAGTTGAAAGAAATATTAGACCAGCATTATATCATTGCAGTCCAGATATTTATATCTGCATGTTTTGTTGCCTGATTCTTAATTTGGCTCTTGTAAGTAGTGATAATTAGTTATTGACTGGCATGTAATTCTAAAGCCATTTCCACTCATTAAACCTTACAGGTTTATGAGCGATTTGATGCAGACTCAGTAGCAGATGTTGATGATGCCCGTCTTGAATATTTTACCAAGAAGGTTCATTTTCTTGCCAATTGTTCTGTTTTTCTATTGTGTCTATCTATGTTATCGTACATTCCAGTCAACTCTGTTGCTAGGCTTTTGATTGCAAAATTTTCACTACTTAGTTTGTTGATGTATGAATGCCAATATGTATGCTTTGCCATCTTCTTGTGTTCATAGTTACCACTAACTCCCCTTACCCCCACTCTAAATTGCTTATTCATCTCTTCTCCTATAGTTATTTGTTTTACCATTCAATTAGTTTTGGCTTTTTTTATTAACCAGAATTTGCCCTCTTAATTTAAAATCAGCCAGTGGAAGTTCTAATTTATCTATTAAGGCCAAAACTCTACCAACAACCTATTGGTCCGGGTGGAAGGAGCTTGGTTCCCTTTAAGTAAGGTCTCAAGTTCGAGTCTTATAAATGGGGTAATAGGTGCTGGGAGAGCATCCCCTTATGGGGTCTGATGCGGCTTAACTCCGGATTAGTCAAGACCCAATGTGACTTTTGGATATTGGGGGGTTAGTACCAAAAAAAATCAAGGCCAAAACTCTTTCTTGACAACCATAAACCTAAATCCTAATTCCTAAACTCTTTCATGAGCCTGGCAAATGTTGCCCACATTTACATAGGGACCTTTCAATTGTTTAGCATTGTAATTTCCTTTTGCTAGAGCTGATATTCTTATGGTTGTAACATAGACACAATATTTTCTCTCTAGGTTGTTGGCTTTATCAGCCAAATATTAATATTATGATATTGACTATTTTCCTGGTGTAGGTGTTTCCAAAGATAAAAGATTCTATTCAGGTACTTGTTTTTAAGATCTAATTAATTCCTATGATCATAAAGTGTTCTTTTTAAATAAGTGATTATATTTTCTTGTGCATGCACTTTTTTCAGGGAGGGATTATGCTATTTGTCAGTTCTTACTTTGAATTTGTTCGTCTGCGGAATTTTTTGAAGTCACAAAATGCATCATTCTGTCTGCTTGGAGAGTAAGATGCTTTGTTCCTGTTCCCTTTTAGTTCATTTTATGCTCTTGTCTGAATTCTTTGTTTGTTGGAAAGCACTACCTCTTAACACTATTGGTTAATCAGGTTAATCAATATATTTTCTTTGTTCTTTAGTTACACGGATCAGCGAGACATATCTCGTGCACGAGTTTGGTTTTTTGAAGGGAAGCGGAAGATCATGGTTTACACTGAGAGAATTCATTTTTATCGCAGATATAAGGTTCTTTAATTTGTTTTTTTGGTGTGATTTATATAAAAATCCTAATTATATTTATTGGTGCAATTGAACTACCATTGACCTATCAAAACTATGTTAATAAGTAAGACACATATTATGGTATGTTAAAATTATTTAGGAGCCACATTTATACCCCAACACACCCAAAAAGAAAAAAAAAAATTGGAGGAAGAAACAAACAGGTATCCTTGGCATTAATTAGTCCGAAGGTTCCAATACCTATGTTATCCAAAAAAAAGAAACCATTATCCCTATGTTGTGTTGTTAAAATCATTTTATAACTCACTCGTTCGTTTATCTCTTTGTAAAATATCACTTCTCTAGAATATGAGAAAAAAATACATTTTTGTTGATGCATGGTTACAATTATTTCTTTATTGCTCTTGTCAAGTAGATTCGTGGCATCAGAAATATGATCATTTATTCTCTCCCAGAGCGGAAGGAATTTTATCCCGAGGTAAGTGTAAATTATAGAAAGGTGATTACCCTGCCCATTATTTCCCAGATTGAGGTCTAAAGTTAAAAGTTTATCTTCTTTATTTCAGATTGTTAATATGCTTGAAGAGTCTGATGAAGCAACATGCACAGTGCTATTTTCTCGTTTCGATCAGCTCAGGGTAATTTATGATCTTTGAGAACATGGTTATTTCATTTTTGCTACATGACAGTATTGCAGTATATATAGGATCTATGCACATTATGCTTTCATTTTAGAGTCTGATCTTTATCATGAATTTCCTTTTCCATCTTCAAATAACTAAAACTTGCACACCAGAATCAATTATGTTAACTAAAATGCTTGGCAGGTTCACCTGGTGAACCTGTAATGTGATTTCTGTATATCGGGGCAACCTTCAACAGCCTGCATCTTTCTCTTATTTATTTTTCTTGAAGGTCTGTTTGGCTGACATTATGTTTAATATGAAAATGTCAGCTTGAGAGAATTGTAGGATCTGCTTCAGCGAAACAGATGGTGAAATCAGAAAAGGGAGTCTTTGTTTTCTGCTGAAAGGCTCCTCAATGACCTATGGCTTAGGAAACCTCGGTTGTCACTGAAGACTGGGATTTAACTTGAGTGAGAATAGAGGTCTGGACTTATTCTTACAGAGTTTAATATACAGATTCACATGCTTAAAGAAGCCGCATTAAGAATCAGATTCACTGCTACTCTGCGAAAAGGATAACTCTTCTTAATGTTGTTCTCTGGTCTCAAGCTGCAATGAAAAATTATTGTTGTAATTGTAACACAAGATAATTTATGGTCCCCTTGATTTCGATTTTTTTTTCCCTCCACCAAATGTAAAAGGGAATGCTGGTTCATAAACCAAAAACATTTATAGCAATTTCTTCCTTTAGAGTTATTTGTATCTCTCTTATTTGTATCTTATTTCCCCATTGATCGCATGTCAAATAATTGAAATCCACATGGCTCAGAAAACAAGTTCCATATATTTTGATCACTACAGAGCTGAGCTCAAACTCGAGCTTAATTTAAGCTTTATTTTCGAGCTTTAACTTGAGCTTAACTTGAAAATATTAACAAGTTCAAATTCAAGTTGCAATAGTTTGCCAGTATGTCTTCGGTAGTGATCAAATTCAAGAATTGGAGGACGAAATTGACTCACAAAAAAGTTCAAGGGTGATGTTTTATGAAATGTAAAAGTGCATGGAAACAAGGGAGGGATAAATCAGTCATTCTCCTAAACCCCGGCCCTTGGGGCTTCCACAAAATCGGATTTTCGTCACCTATAAATTAAGTGAAATCCAGCGCGGTCCGGTGCCCAAATACCGATTCCCTCAGTCTGCCTTCAAGCTTCGTCTTCGTGAAATCTTGGATTGGGGTTTTTCTACAATGGTGTATTCACATTCGTCTGCAAGAACAACGATGGAGAGTGGACCGCTAAGCAGTACGAAGGTGAGTTGGAGGCCTCTGCCTCCTCCATCTACGAGCTCCAGAGGAAGCTCGTCTAGACGGCTCTGGCCAACGACTCATCCGGTGGCGTTAGCTCCTCATTCTCTCTCATCACCCCCTCTTCGGCCGTTTGCCAGGTTCTTTCCTTTTCCTTTAAAGTTTCCGTTTTGATTTTGTGGACAACTTCAGTGATTGCCATGTATAGACTATGGAATCTGAATCTTTTCAAATTAGTTTATGTAGATTGTAGATACTGTTCTACCATATCTAGTTCGTCAAATCGCAGTTGAATTTATTGGATGCTGTACATTATTCTGTTTAAATAATGAAAACATGTGAAGTTGCAATTTCATTCGGATGATGATATTAGACTGCCAGAGTTGCAAAGTGAACAGATTTTCTGCTTCATTAGGAAACGCAAAGTTATAATTGAGCCACTCCAACTGATGATATTCTTTTTGTAGGAGTAAATTGGGTGCTTTCCAATTTCTGTTTAATCTAATTCTCTACCATACCGTGTCAGCCAATGTCATTTTATATCAAATAAGAGGCTACATTGTCATTTTAGTGATTAAAGAAACTGGCTTGGCTACAAGGTTTCTTACCCATATTCAACTCTTTAATGAAATCAAGCTTGTCTATTGTGAAAACCATCGATATCCTGACATCAGACTTGCTTGCCAATGTGATTTGAGTTAATGTAGACTCTCTTTTTGCTATTTTAAAAATCTGTCCTTCGGGTTTGTGGAATCTGATTCCGTTTAACTGTGTTGGAGTTATATAGTCCAGAACATTGCAACAATTAACTCTGGTATTTATATCGTTTAATGAATGCTTTTGCTGTTTACATTTAAATAAAGTATAGAGTTGAGCTTCAGCAGTAGCAGCCGATGCAGTATAACTCATTTCTAATTTTAATTGTGTCATTTTGTTTGAGGCAGGTGATTATTAGTGCTGTAGGTGGTGGGGCTTTTGTTGGAGGTGGAGCAGCTGCTGCTTCTGGTGGAGGTGCACCTGCTGCTGCCGCTGCTGAAGAGCCTAAAGCTGAAGAGAAAAAGGAAGAAAAGGAAGAGAGTGACGATGATATGGGATTCTCACTCTTCGATTAAGTACATTCATATATATCTTTGAATATGTTACATGTTGGTCTGTTTTTGAGGTTTTATATATAATCAGTTTACCCAAAGTGTTGAATTAGGCTGGAATGATTGGGGTTTTTGAGTTAGGACATGGCCATGTTGAACAGATTTTGTTTTGACTCCTTTTCTTTGTTAAGTATCTATGTTTAAATTACAAAGTCGTTCCTTGTTTACAAATAGATTGTTGCTTGACTCTCTCAAAATGCAAGAACTTCTGCACACTGACCATAGCATTTACCTGACTTTAATTCATTAATAAAAGTATATTTTTTTTTTTTTCACTTTTGAGTACATTCTAAAAGTTTGTGTCTCTGAGTTCAAATTTTGGGATCTGAATGAGATCGTTGGTTCTACCAAAGACAATCACAAGATTTCCTCCAAAATTCATCTATGACTGTCTCTCCCTATTTTAATCCCCAACCCTTCTCTTCAAGATCTGTAGGGATTTTACTGCAAAAATCTAACAAAATTTCGGATTTTATGCTTCTTATTTTGTTTATCTAACATGTGCCCTTAGTACAATTAATTTACATAAAAAGTGTAAGTGTTTACCTTGGTTTAAACAATTAAAAATAAGTAATTAATTAAAATTATGCATATGTCAATAATTAAAATTATAATAAATTAATTACTATACAATATTACATTTATTACACCATAAGCTAGAGGTCAGACAAACATTTCTTCTTTAGTGGCACAAACAAATTGCCTTTGTGGCAATAACTAACCGGATCTCGTAATTGGGTTTCATATTTGAAAGTGGGCCGAAATATGTTTTTTTTAGCCCGCAACCCAGATCCAAACCTAATCACATCAATGAACCCAATTTTTCAGGGTAAATCTTAATTTTTTCAGATTAAGAAAAATGGGAAATTCAAAAACCCCAGTCTCTCTCTTCCTGCGTTCCTCAAAAACCCTACCCCTTCAAAATCGAAACCCTTCATTCTGCTACTGCTGCTATCAACTCTGGTTCATTCAAACCCGATAAAGGAACAAGCTTTTTCGTTCTAAATTACTATCTGTCAGTAGTATTAGGTAGATAAAGAGATGGAGCAATCGCAAGAGCTCACTCTCGTGGCAAGAAAACCATACTTTGACCTCCCAACAGCTTGCCCAATCTGCTTGCCTGTCTACATTTATCTCAAGCTTTCTCGACTTCCCTTTACCTTGGAGTTTAATTCTATCTACCCTGATTCAGGTTGTCTTTTTGCTGACATTCTTTTTTTGTTTTTTTTTTTTTGGGGGGGGGGGGTTATTGGCAATTCATATATGGGATGATGTTTATTCTTATTATTTTTGCTGAAATTTGGTTTCTTTTAGTCGTCTGTTTTGAATTCTTTTCTGGGTATTTAAGTTTTCTGAGTTTTCTGCATTTTTTGCTTTTTTTCTCTTTAGTTTATAATCATGTTTTCATCTATTTCTGCTTCCTACTTACGCACTATTGACAATTTAACTTGAGAAAACAGTTCTCACTCCTTTTTGTTTTGGGAAACAAAATGTTCTTATTGTGGAACATTGTTGGTGGGTCACCAAGTGATGGATCTTTGCATGCGGATATATATATCTTAAGGTAAATAAATAGAACAATGTGATAATGGCATTGATTTTTTCTTTTTTTCTTTTTTTTAATGCAGATCAAATCCCTTATGTTGAATATGGTGCTTATGTGGCCTATAATAACGAGAATGATGGAGTTATTGAACGTTTAAAGGAAAAAAGTGTAATTGATCTCGATTCTGATTTCCAAGCAGTCCCTGAGTGGATATCAGCAAAAGCAATGATCGATTCTTGGCTTGCTGATGCAATCATGTATGAACTGTGGCTAGGGTCTGATGCAAGTGTGGCTGACAAGATTTATTATTCTGATCTCCCATGGCCCATAGGGAAGATTCTGTACTTAAAGCAAGTATATAATGTGAAGCAGCGACTTGGGATAACCAAAGACAATGCCCAGTGGAGAGAAGAACAGGTACTTCAGTTTTTAATCTCTATGGGTGTGTCCTGCCCACATGGGCGTACTTTTGCGCCATTGATAAAGAGCAAGTAGTTGAATGCAGTTACATTATGGACATAATTGCATATATGTATGTATTCTTATATGTTACATCTACTCTCTTTCCTCACTTGATATTTTCAAATGTCAAAAGTTTTAAGAGTATTGATATTTTGTATTTCAGATTTACAAGAAGGCAAAGATGGCATATGAAGCTCTGTCAACTAGGTTAGGAGACCAGAATTTCCTCTTTGAGAATAGGTGATTCCTATTGATACTCTTTTCTATATGGTAAAAGACCTTTTGCATAGTTTTCCTAAACTGGTTGACGTAAGTTTAACCTTATTATTTCATAAACATCTGCTTTGTGAATTTTTGTAGGCCATCAAGTTTAGATGCATGTTTCCTTGGACATGCTCTTTTCACTCTTCAAGCATTACCTGTAAGTTGCCTCAGAAACTATATTATTGTCTTATGGTTGCCTCAGAACTATATGGTCAGTTCAGGCCAAAAAATAATTATATAGTTGGTTCAGAATGATTTTCTTTCTTAAATATGTTTTTATTGTTTATATATGGAAAATGGCAATGCCAAGCACCATAACATGGTCCTTTTTGTCATTGAATAAACTACCAAGTAACTTTGAGCTTGCTAGGTAGATCAGTAATGTCTAAAACTTGAATGATAAACTGATACTCCCTCCATCTCAGAATAATAGACGTTTTTTGCTTTTATCATGGGATTAAGGATTTGGGGACAATTTCCATCTTTACCTATTTTACCCTTAAAAAAAGAAATAAAAATAAGAAGACTTTTTAATGATAGGATGGATAATTAAAATTAAGAGATAATCATAAGGTTAAATAGGAACAAAATATTTATCTCCTTTAAAATATTAAAAATGACTATTATTATGGGACAAATCCTAAATCAAAAATTGTCTATTATTTTGAGAGAGGGGGAGTAATTGGATTGAATTGTGACGAGTCCCCAATCATACATCTAAATTTAAATCCTTTTAGACCATTTCCACTTTTCAGACTATAGCAAGAGCTGTATTAGTCTATTAGATCCATCCAAAACTGTTACTTGAACCTGAGTTCAACTAATGTAGTTAACATGTATTGATTAGAGAGTTGTTTCCATCTCGCATGTTGGGATGCCTCTTAAATATTTCAAACAGAATGGGGATACCAAGGAAGTCACTCTAGTCATAACTAACTCTTTGATTTCTGTTATTGAACTTTGTCTTGAGCTACCTATTTCTATCTTCTCAATAATTCTGATCTACATAAACTGTGTTAAAGAATAAAGTAGGAAACATGATATGATCAGTTTCTGATCTAGAATTTACTAAGCATGTCACTTTTATCCCCTGGAATTTTTTTGAACTTGTTCCATGCAATTCTGATATACTAGGAAACCTCAATGCTTCGTGGAAAGCTTTTGCAGCATGATAATATTGTAAGATATGCTGAAAAACTCAAAATGGAGTTTCTAGAGGCTGGGTCATCATCTTCTGTCCCACAGCCACACTCATCCCCTTCCTCATCAGCTCAAAGAAGAGGGACCTGGAATTGGAGTAAGATACTTCTTTTTAATTTTTTTGGTATTGTATTCGTTGGTTTGTTGCTCTGAGGTGATACAGCCATTAAAACCAACTTATCATATGATTTATTGAGCAATTTAAGTCTCGGATATCCAGGGCTTCATTGTATGAGTTGTGTATTTTCACTTTCAAGGGTATAATTGTGGTTTTCTTTAACTGTTGTAGTCTAAGGCTTTTTTTCTTTTTATTAGGTTCAAAGCCTAAGGGCAAACCCAAGAGGGAAAAAACAGAGGAGGAGAAAAAATTTAAAAAAAGAGCCAAATACTTTTTGGCAGCACAAGGTATTGCAGTACTACTCTTTCTGTCAGTCATGGGCCGTGGTTCTGCTGAAGTGGAGCTTGAGGATGATGATGAAGGCTTCAGTTATGACTGAAAGTGCTCCCCATAAACTCAAGTTGTGTCCTCATAACTAACACTTTCCCTGTGACTACCAACAAGGCAAGCGGAATTTTGGGATCAGTATTCCTTTTTATTTGTTATTCTGTAATTTTTCATCAAAATTTTGGAAAATAATTGCCTATACAAATTAAAATTATCTGATTCTTCTCATCAAGGGATTGAGATCTTATTTGAGTAGTATATTTTCTACTTGTATTGTTGCTTCTTTTTACTTTTGAATAAAAGCATTCTCTGGTTTGCAAGCTCAGGTAAATTGCACTAAAGACAAATTTAGTCCAACCGTTTTGGAGGTGTGAAATTGTTATTAACTCACTGCATATATGGTGTAATAGTAAGGTGGCAGGCTCAGATACGATATGTGAAATTGTTGTTAACTCGTTGCAGATATGGTGTAATAGTAAGGTGGGGGCCTCAGTTATGATGCAAAGAAGATATGAAATGTATAGTGTATACATCTTCCCAGGTCCTAGCTGCATGAAGCCGAGGATTATGCCTTTGCTTATGCTTCTGGTTTCCCAAAACAAGATGGAAAATACAACTTTAGCTGAGATTTTACAATAGAACGCCAACCCTTTTCCCTTGAATTTCTATCTTTTGCATCCAAATGAAGCAAAACTGCAAAAGTAACTCTCCGGTCTACACTACCTTGTCATAGTAAGCAATGTTTGTAATTACTAATTACAGATGACGATTACTTAAACTACCTTATGTAAGGACATGGGTTATGTACCGGTACCACCTGAATTACGTGGCCGCTTGGCGTTTTCCCATTGGTTAACCAGTGCAGCATAACCCTCAGCAGAACCAATAGAAAACTCACTCAGTGAGCTCATTGCTACTGACATTCCGGCACAAAGTACCCTTATTGCAACTTCAGCCAGCTTCTCTGCTGTCATGCCCTCTTCTTCTACCTGATGTATCTCTACCAAGTCCAGTTTCCCTGGGGATATCTCTGAGAACCTCTTAGACCCAATTGGAACATTGTGACTATCATCCTTAAGCTGCTGTGCATATAGAGACCCCATGCCAGCAGCGCAGAAATCTAGCCCATCAAGCACTGGCATCTCATGAAGAGCATCAAGAAATCTTGACCATTGGACGCAAAGTCCGAATACTGGAAGGGTACCACTGGACCGACGGGGAGAAAACGGTAACTTAGATGTATCAGGTTCGAACCTCAAGCAGCGAAGGAGCCAACCAGTTAGTGCATGCATGTAGGATCGCTGAGAAGTGATCCATGACCCAAAACAGGCCCTCCAATTTCTAAGTTCAGATTCAAGATTTGCAGCTGATCTGGCTAGCCTTTGAGGGTCAGAAACTGAGATGGAAGAACGCCTTCTTGCTTGCAATTTGGAAGATGTTGTTCCTGCTAGCAAAAGCTTGGCTTCATCTAAGGTCCGCTTTTGTGTCTGGTGACACTCTGCCATCACTTTCCACATCCTAGAAAACCTGCAATTTTATGGAGAATTAGGAAGCAATGTTTTTCCAACAGTTAAAAATCGAGAGAGTAGGGAAACCATGTGACATACCCTTGTAACAATTCCACAAGTTGAGGCTGCAATTCTTCATCCCTTAAGGCTTCAATTCTCTTGGAAATAGTTTCAACTGTCTGTAGTGAAACCTTTATCTGTGTATCCAGATCTCTAAGTGCCACCCTTGTTTTATCCAACGTATAGGGGTCATCTCCTTTCCCATCTTGGTTTCTTAGTTGCTTAAATTTCTTCTCATATGCGATTCGAACCTTTTCTCCTGACTATTTGTAAAGGCAAACAGAAATAAGTTTCCATCTTTATATACACTTTTGTTAGAAATTTTATCTGAACAGAGGTTGCTAAAACAACTAGGTGATAGAAGCATACCCTGACTTCCTCATAGAGTTTCTTCTCCCAGACATATAATCTGTCTAATGTCGATTGGTGGCTACCATTAAGCATGCAGCATTCATCAGAGAAGTCAGTGCCACTTTCATAACCATCCTCTTTTGAACTAGAAGAAGATTTGATTAGGAATCTGGATGATGTTGAGCGAGATGAAGAAGCTGAGCGTAATAAAGCTACAGGATTCAGCATTTTTGTGGCTGCAAGAACAATAATTCAAATTGATATAAATATATGACTAAATTCATACACTGCATTAAACTCACATCAGTATAATGTAATACTAAGACAACATTTCATGAAAGATTGAAGTTGAATTCAGCATGCAGTGTCCTTTTGGGAAGTGAAGCCACAATAAGAATGATAAAAAAAGACGGTGGATTCCATACCTGTAAGTTCATTTGATGGTGTTGTGTACTGAACCTTGCTAGCCTCCAATAATGCCGAGACTTCATTGGCAGCGTTGCAAACCTTCATGAATTGAGCTTCAAGATCATTAATAACTTCTGCCATGCTTGTTGGCCGCCGGTTTACAAAAACAGTAAAACCTGGTGTCTCTTTGGTGGCTTCATCATTACCAACTGCCATTTCCTTGCTACTGACTTCAACTTGCCCTCTCGTTTGAGCTCGTGATATTTCTATGCTTGGTTTCCCTCCTTGGGATTGTAAATCTTTTACATCATGCTCATTTTCAATTATACTATCTGTATCCTCCTCATCCTCATCAACATCTTCAACAAGAACTTCTTCTTTACAGCAATTGGAATCGACCTTCGTCCTGTCTACCACCACATTTTTCACAATCTCAGTTTCTTCCTTTTCAGTTTCATCTTCTTCTAAATCAGGAATCCCTTCTTCCTCTCTAACCTGTCTTAATCCTCTCATCTCATCATCAATAACTGCCTGATCGAGGCCGCTTCTTGTTGGATATCCATAGTAGTCTAATGATGAAAAAGGATTCCAAAAAAAGTCCCACTGTGATGTTTGAGGTGAAGGGGGAGGTAAGTTAGGCCTATCATTGGGAGAATAAGAGAAGTATGAAGGATTCATGGGTGAAGATTGCATAGCAAAGAACCCATCAATGCCAAACTGGTGTATTGGAGAGTAGGTCTCAACTCGGAAAGTTTCTGGTGATTGAGGCCTCTCCTCAACCGAAACTGCTGGAGTACCACCTGGCCTCAAGTAATTCACTTTCAATGTGGAGTTGGGTCCAGATTGAATTGGTGAAATAGAGATAAACCGAGAACTTCCTTTCTTGAGTGGTGGAGTGATGAATGATGGATCTAATACGAACTCCCGGGGCTCATCCCCCTGGACATAATCTCGAAGAGCCGCTGAAACTCTTTTCATGGACTGAATATAGGCTATATGCCATGATGCAAATCGTGTTCTCTGCTCTACTGCTTGCTTAATGAAACGCTTTCTATCTTTACATAACTGAACTACCTCCTCATCATCTAGCTTTGATGTAGAACATCCCATTTTCACTTTCCTTTTACCTCCTCCTCCTTGAATTTTTCAAAACACAAATTCTTAATATTTGTCACCAAAGTCATATGGAGTGTGCCAAGCCTATATTTTGAGCAAGAAAAAAAACAGACCAATTTAGTAACTTCAACCCCAAATCAAGCTAAACCAGCTATGATCTTCTATTGATTGAATATTAGTACATGATGTGAAAAAGATTAAGGTGCTTTACTTAAGCTTCAAGTCACATGACAAACCAAGGAAGAATCTTTAGATCTTTTATAACATAATAATGACAAAATCAAACAACTAACAAGAGATTACTCGAGTTGATATTTACTAATTTCTAAACTATATGTTAGTTGCATCAAGGTTAAGGATTGGAATCGCCAGCAAAGTGGAAAATTTAATAATAAAATGCAAATGAGAAATAGGAGGACAAGCAACTTCAAAATGAATTGAATTTTTTTTTTCTTAGAGTTTCAAAATCCGATCTGTATATTAGTTCAAAAATTGAAGAAAAACTGAAAACCAGAAAAAAAAAAATCATAATAATTTGAGAGGAAGGTAGCAGAGAGAAAGAAAAAGTAAATTAAAGAAAAAAATTGAAAAGAAATAAGCCACCAAAAAGATAATTGTAGAAATGGGATGTAGAGTTCTTTTTCTAGAGGAAATGAAAATTAAAGGAAGAAAACCATCTTGAAAATGCAAAGCAAAACCAGATTAGTTAAAGATAAAGAGTCAAGGAAAGTGAGGAACACAGTGGTTTGATACTAAAATAAAATTAAGAAGCAAAGGTAAGGAAGAAGAAGCTGAACATAGAATGCAAAATTAATGGAAAACAGAAAATGAGACGTACCTGGAGGAGTGTTGGAGAAGGAATAACAGAGAAGAGTGAAGGGAGGGAGAATGAGGGAGGAGAAGGAGAGAGAGAGAGAGAGAGAGACAGAGAGAGAGAGACGTTGTGGAAAGCAACGGTCAAAAAATCTAATGAAAAACAAAGGAGGGCATAAAATTACAAAAACTCCAATTTAATAAAGTGTAGGAAAAAAAAGGGGTAAGGCAGATAAGGAATGTGACGGCTGATCAACATTGACCTTCAGCTTTTGCTTTATTTCAAGAAATGCCACTCTTAATGCTTTATTTTTCACTGACAACTTTGGTGACGATTTTTTTTTTTTTTTAAAGAAAATGTTAAGTCAATGGGTTAGTATTTGCTCGAAATCAGTGTCGTATTAAGAATTGGGCGAACTCCATTTATTACTTATGAAATAGTGTAGCTCATCCATTGAACCACACAGAAAAATTCACTGCGGTCATGTTCTTTTAATGACAAGAAAATGCTTTTTATCACTTACTTGGAACTAGAGGTGGTAAAAAAAAAAAGAATCCGACGTGAACCTCCAGTGGTTTGATAGTTATCATCTTTTTATTAGGAACTTTTTATACAAATTTAAAAATATGAGGTTTGAATCGTATCTTGTATGTTTAAAGAAACAAAAAAAAAAAAAAAAAATATTCACCTTTTTATAATTTTTTTTTTTTTGAACATATTTGCAAGGGGCGGGTTTCGAACCCAGCCCGGAGAGGGGAGAATGCACCGGGGTGGCTATTGTCACTAGACCTCAAGAGTCAGGTTCTAGTGGTTTGATAGTTATCATTTTTATTAAGAACTTTTTATACAAATTTAAAAATA